AAGATTCAAAGATATTTTGAATTTCTCTGTGAAAAGACTACCCACTAGTCAAATATCAGAGCCATAAAAAAAATCTCACTTGCTGTGATTTAATTTGACCTTTGTCTCTAGGGCATCAGCTGACATTCTTAAATTGACTTTCATGGGTGTGTTTTGCTTATTGAGCTTCCTTTGAATGTGTCTGGTTTTCACATATTGTCAAAGGCGACCTACTGATGTGATGGGCACTTAACATTTGATTTAGTATGGCAATTCTTCTGTAAGAGAATCCTAAAAATTATGGTGCTGAACTTGGAATAAGAAGTATGATTGGCAGTTTATTCCATGCTTTCACACTGCCATATGGCCTCACTTCCATGGCCTGGTAGCTTCTTATCCTACTTGGATTTGCCCGTCATCTGTGGGGTATTGTCAGACTACTTGAGTTATTCATCTTGGCTAAGTCCTGTGCTGCTGACAGTAATGAGGGAAAGCCTCTTGTTTTCTTGGGCACCAGTAATTGCTGTTAGGGGCAAATTAGACCAAGGCTGTTTCCATGAATCTTCTTAGGAGCAGTGGTGGTGCAGCTTCTGTGACACAGAGTTACCTAACACAGGAAAATGCCATTACTGACCAAGGTACTGTCAGCCTACAGCACTGCTGTTCTTTAACCAGGGAGAAACCAAGGTGACATTCCTAGCAGAATTCTCTTGCTGGCTATGAAACAATGCTTTCACTGTATCATGCACTTGCCTCGTGATGTCCTCTTGAATTTATAATAATGGTCCTGTGTGTATATTTTAAAATAACACTAATTAAGAGGGATCTTAATGGAACAAGGGAGAATAAATATCCTCTGAATACCTTTGTGAGAAAGCATGGCCTAGAGGTTTTACTACTAAAGTTTAGTGGAAAAGAATACTGAACAAAGTTTAGTCATTTTGAGGATCTCTCTTGCTCTTCTCCCTGTTGAAATGCAAACAGTACTGGCTTAATGCTCTTTTTTTGTTCTTGCTCTTCATTTCATTTGGGGTTTTTTTTAATATAATACAGTAACAATGGGTTGCTCCACAAGGGGAGGGGAGCAAAGAGCTTTAATTTTAATAACAGGATTAGTGTAAACTAGATGTTTGAAAGACAGAACTAAGGATGTACTAGCAAGGTGTCAAGTGAGCTCTACATGCAGATACTGAAACCATGGTGAACTCATATGGGATTGCAAGAATTCTTCACAGAAGAGCCAGAAATTGATCATTTCATAAAAGGAAGAATGACATTAAAGTGATGAGGAAAATATATCCTAGTATTCTTGTACTGGAGCCTTCCGTTTTGTAGGCTCTTTAAAAGCTGGTGCGCATCACTTCCTTTGCATAACTTACTTTTAATCAGTTAGTGTAAAAATGAAGTATTGTAAAAGCAGCTGCAAGAATTCAGAGAGAATGGCAAAGTTGATAAAAATCCTTTTTGTTCTTGTCTTCTATTCTTCATTATATAGGCAAAGGGTGAAAAAATCGAGATTACTTTTCCTTCTTAAAACCAAACTTCATGACAGAGCTTTTGACAAGACATTAAGTTTTGACAAACTAAGACTCTAATGACTCTGATGTTGCTTGCTATTAGTGATTGCCTTTGAAGATGCTGGAATCTTCTGCCTTTCTTCTTGGCTGAGGAGGAAATGTAGAGCTGTTAGAAAAGGGAACTTTCCTCAGCACATTGGTAATGAATTAGTTAAGCAGATGTTAACAAAAGGAATTAATGGTTAGACACTGAAACGTTCTTAGCCCTATGGTTAAGAATTTCGTTGACCTTTGAAATGGCAATCTCCTGTCATCCGTGTGAAGCTACTGAAATGGAAAGTGTAATCTCAGTTTTTAATTATGTGCACACACATTGCTTGTGCATGTATGAAACAGATGCAGGGATAGATTAATTTTTTTGTTTTTTTTCTTTCTTGACAAAGCATATGGCTTACTAATTACGTATGTATAAGCCTGTGTGGACAGAGGGGTGAAGGAAGAGGCAGAAGGACACCAGCTGGTTGGGTTTCTTGGCCTGTGTTTGGACTATCCTATTGTAATAATGTTTCAGTTTTAACCTGCAGACATTTCTGCAGTGTCTTAAATTTTATGGAAAAGATTACAGATGTACACTTCAACCAACATAAGGGCTTTTCATACAGTAATGCAAAATAAGGACCAGTAATAAGCCACCTGAGTGGTTTGTTGGTCCTCTACTAGGCCTTGGAGACTTAAAAATATTGACATACTACTTAGAGGTGTGCAGTTTTTCTTTTTCTTTTAATTCAATCTGATTATGCACACACAAGTTGTTCATTATCAATATGTATCTTGGCTAGATGCTGTTTCCTGAGCATTGTTATAGGGACAGACATCTGGCTGAGGGTATGGTAGTAAAGGGCAATGTATGTCTAGATAATGAAGTACAATTTGAGAAAATATTATGGTGAAGAAATACCATCATTATACTTTCTTTTGCACTTGAGACACAAGAAAAGGGGAACTACTCATCTGAGATATAAAGCATTGTGCAGCAGCTTGTAGTTTTAAATCTAACCCAGGTTGCTAGCAACAAATCTGTTGCCAACTAATTGATGTCTTCCTCTGTGTATAAACACTTGGTCAGCCCAATTCCCAATGAAAAACAGGATATGGACAATTTCACTTTCGTTGTATGGAGCCACTAAGCAAGTTTGGACCTAGTGGCTGTGTGGATGACAGATCGTCTTGAAGAACTTTGATGCTAATTAAAAATGGATGAATTGATTCTGTTTCATTTTTGATACTGCAACATAAGGTAAACCTATGCAGGGACTACAAGATTTCAGATGGTTGGGGTTTGGTTTTTGACAATCAACTAGCAATGACTGTCCTGATTGAATCTTTTCCTAGTAATGACTATCATCATACTTTAATTTTCATTGGTGTAGAACCATTGAGTTCCAGATAGGTCCTTACTGTACAAATACAGAATCAGGAAATTAGCAAGACTGATTATTTCATCAGCAGATCAAAAAGTGTTTTCAAAAAAAGCTAAATACTCTGAGACCAATTTTATTCATGGAGAAACCCAACTGCAGGCAATGAAATCACTCCTTGCAGGCCCTTCAGCAGACCAGCATCACACTGAGGAGAGAATCTAGGTCTTGAAGGTCACACTGTTCTCTTATTCCTGCATCCACTAATACATCAGGACTGATTTACCAAGGAGCTGCTCGCCTTCAGTTTGTTTTGATTCCATACAAAGTTCTGAATGCCCAAGTATTTTGACATGGAAGGCTGTGTTCCCTTTAAAAGCTATTGTGTTTTTTTCTGTAAATGATTGAATATTGAAAGTGTTCATACTAGGGATGGATGGGATTTATATGCATGCACTGTAATTCCTATTGTAAGGGGTAGAAAGGCATTGTGTGAAGCAATGAAGATTCCTGATCCCTTGTCCAGAAGCAAAGTGATAGTTCTCATCAAATCTATGCTGTGAAATTGAATATTTTAATAGATACAGTACTAGCAGTGTGCATAACTTGAGATTTATAGGTGCTAATAACATGAAAAGCTCAGTTGGTATAATCTCTCTGTCTTCTTGTTGTACATTTAAGTCATTCACTAAGTGAAAAAAGAAGTTAATGTAATTTATCTGAAAGCGATCTCTAATGCTCGTAAGGGAACAAGAGACTTGCTCTTTCTGGTTTCCCTCCATTGATTGATTTTTCATGTAGATGTCAGGTTGTTACTAGGAATTCATTTGAGACTAGAAAAAATTTGGGAGGATTTTGTGAATAGCTGTGTATAGCATCTTCCTTCTTCTATCTTGCTGGCAGAAAAAAAAAAAAAAGAGAAATGTGTTTTTAAGGTCCTTCTGGGGCTGTTTTGCACATCTTTGCCCATAGAAAGAGCCATAGATTTGGGCATGGTCACCTAGGACATGGTGAAAGACCTTCTACTTCTGTCTTGACTGCTTGTACAGTCCACAGGGAAGATCTAAAATTAGGAAACTGCAAATAAGGTCCTCTCAAATCTTGTACCAATCTTAGCAGGGGCTAGCATTTAGGGCCAGAAAATCCAAACTATTGATGCGAGTATCTATTTTAATTTGATTCCCTGAATATTCTAAACAGCCACATTGGGAATGGAAGGGTATCAGCTGCCCTGAGAGAGAGAAATTACACAAGTGAAAATGACGGGCTGGGTGAAGATATGAACTAAAACATAGGCTAAGCAGTTTAGAGAATTGTCCTTGTGTGTGGCAGAATACATTTCTACTTTACTTACAACAGTTTTGAATGCTGTTACAGGGCCTAAAGGGATCAGATATTAGGTTCTGTTCTTTCAGTTACACTTTCTAAGTGGAACAGTTGGTGTCCTTCTCGGTCAGTTGCATAGTGTAAAGTTCATTCATTCTGCATTCTTGCTGCAAAGCTCCAAACTGTAGGAAACGTGTGGTCACTTTCTATTATATTTAACTAGGGTATAGCCACCTGACAATGTATTTAGCACATCTGAGCTAATACTTGGCAATGCTTCATACTTCAAAAGTGCTTGAAATTCTCAGAGTGCAGCTAAGCACCCATATCACAGCAAACCCAGGCTATGTAGATGCAATTCTGTACTCATTTTGTTGTCTCTGTATTTGAAATGTCTGGGTTTAGCTGCTTTTGCTTTTTTTCTTGCTGTTAATTGTTGCACTAAAAAGGTAATGTGTGACTTTCCCCTTTTGATAGGTGTCAGAAACGTGCTAAGTAGAGATTAGGTCAAGATCTTGGAGCACATTATTGCATTTCTATCTTGGGCTTTCTTGCCAAAAGTCTGCCAAGGGGCAAGGTCATTCCACTGTCTAAAACCTGAAGAAAATACATAACTACATTTTATGAAGCTGTGTGCATAAAAGCAATTTTCTTTTCTTTCTTTATGGCTCCCCAAAAATGTTTTCCTAAAAGCGGTGAGCAGGAGTTAATCTATTTATTGAAATACAGCTGTTCAGCTATAATGGTGGGAGCCAACTGTGTGTTTCTGAAGTGGGCAGTGGGCATGGCTTGGATCCTGCTGCCAGTGGTAGGGTGGGATCCTTGTCCCTCTTACCATCTCTTCCTTCTGCTCTGAATTTTGTGTTACCTGTCTTTATTATGAAACATTTATAATGGAGAGGATAGGGAAGCCTGACTTCCATGCTTCCTTTCTGTGATTCTGTTGAGTCAGCGGAAGCTCTAACACTGATTTCCCTGTAGCCAGAGTTTTATCTTTTCTATTTAAGAAAACCATTTATGTTTGGACTCTTGTTACCACTTGATTTTCTCATTATAGTCACATCTAAATGTTTTACCTGTAGTTTGTTGCTGTTCAGGAAACAATTTATTTTCTGTTTATTTTTCTTTATGAGGAAATTAAGATACATATGAATGAAAAGTTTTGAAGTCTTTGTCATGCATGTAACTTATTTTCTAGGCCTAGACATTTCAGATACATATGACAGATTTTCACACACATGCAGGTATATGTAGGACAATGAGATCAAAAAGACTAGTTCAGAAATAAGTTTAGAAAAGTGGATTTGAAAGTACTTCCTTCTTAAAATTAACTTCTGTGAGCTTTCCCTTGCACAAAGCACATCTGAACTCTGGTGTCAGACAAGCCTTAATTTAATTTGAAAGTTGAATCTAATGCTGTTTGGAAAGTGATTTTAAAACTGTATTTAGTAAGCATGCTAGTCCTTTTCTAACAAAATTATTCTTTAAGACTTTTTGCCAACAGAATCAGTGAAATGACAGTAATACTGTTAAATGGAAGCCACTGCTATTTTTATTAAAGCAATGTTTAAGCTTCTTGAAACATTTTAAACATGGGTGTTGGACTAGATTATCTTAAAAGGTCCCTTCCAACAAAACCCATTGTGTGATTTTATGATTTCACCTTCTTTCAAAGACTGTTAGAAAATTAGCTAAGAAACCATCCTCCCCGAGAAACTTTTCTGGAATCCATGAAGGAAATAGCCTTTGAAAATTTTTGCTTCAGCATAGAAATCACCACGTACTGATTGTCACCAAAAAAGGAGTCATTTAGCCAGAAATTAATCCTGAGCTGCCTCCTTATAAATGTATTTGGACAGATCTAATTCTTGTGAAGCACAAAGCAAGTGATGCATAAACAAAGAATCTCAGCACATTTAATTTATGATTGCTAACCCTGCTTCATTTCTGACCTCTGTGTTTCTTCAATGTTTTGTGTGGTGTCAATTGTTCAATTTGAAGTCTCAGTTTCTACTATTTTGCAGAGGTTACAGAAAAGTGGGAGAGCTGTATCTGGTGGTTCAGTTTAACCTTGGCTCTGCACCCACTGGCATACGCATGGTTTAGCATGTCCACCAAAACAAATTCTGCATGGGCTGAGAATGAATGGAGAAATCTTTACAGTGGCTTTGGAAAACACCATAGAAAATGTTTCATTCGGAGGGCAAAGCAGAAGAAACATTATTACTGCACAAAAATGTGACTTCTTGTTCAGCAAGTTGTCATTCTTAAGGATTTTCCAAGTGCAGGCAAGCTATGGTGGTCAATAAAGTTGAATGAAAGACCTCCTAGTTAGTGTTGGTTGGTGCCACTAAGTCCAGTTACAAAGCCCTCCTAGCCCATGTCTAGAGCCAATTTAGCTTTACAGCTGCCTCTTTTGAGCCCCGTGTACCCAGTTCCAGAGGCAGCTTGCCTAGACTATTATTGTACAACCCAGTGCACTGAGAAGTGCCTTGGATTTTCTTCTGCACAGAGTGAGTGGAGGGGAAGGAGGAATAAACAGAAGGTCCCAGTGCTTGACTGAATGGTCAACCACGTCTTTGCCTATCCACATCTGTACTTTGGTTTTGTACAGCTTTCAGGGAATGGATTAAATGTTTGAGGCACTCAGTATGCTTATAGAGTGATAAGGAAGATGCTAGTTCAAAGATCATCTAGTTCCACAGGTCAAAGAAGGCAATACATCTAGCTCAGGTTGTGAAGTGGCTGTCCGAGGTCATATGACATGTCAGGAGACAAATGACAAGTTGAGGGTGAGAGTGCCGTGTGCCTGACGTAATTGCTATATAGCCTCTGCCATGACATTTGGGTTGCATTTCTTCACAGCAATTACGCTGCTCTTTTTGTGTTGCTTAAAATTGAGCAGAGCAAGAATGGCAGCATGACTAAGAAAGACCTCAGGCCTGAGTGGATGGCAAGTGGAACATGAGTCAGCAGTGCCCAGGCCAGGAGGGCCAACCCTGTCCAGGGGTGCATCAGGCACAGCATCACCAGCTGGGCAAGGGAAGGGATTGTCCTGCTCTGCTCTGAGATGGGGCAGCCTCACCTCGAGTGCTGGGGGCTGTTGTAGATGCCTTTATATAAGAAGGACTTCAGACTATTTTAGGGTGTGTCCAGAGGAGGACAGCCAAGATGGTGAAAGGTCTCAAGGGCAAGACTTAGGAGAAGCAGCTGATGTCAGCAGTGGGTTTGTTCACCTTGGAGTAGAGAAGGCTGAGGGGTGACCTCATCATAGTCTACAGCTTCTTTTGGGAGGCAGCAGAAGGGGAGAAGGAAAAATATTTCAGAAAAAAAAAAGTAAAATTTTTAAAATCTGTTGTTTTGAAAACCAGCAGGCTGTGCTAACAGATATTTTTTTGTTTTTCCACAAGAGACCACACAATCTTGTCATTTTCACTTTTTGTATCAGCAAGGAAAGGAGCTGCAGCATGGGGAATGCTGCTCTTATTTGTGACTCTTAAATTTTCATTTGAGTAATGAAGAGGGTCTGCCAAAGTGATCATTAAGATGCTTCTTAAGATGTTTTCAAGGCCTTGCTTAGTAACCATTTTTTCCCTTGAAATTTGAAAGCAGGGACTTCTATATTGTACTCGAATCATTAATATCAATTAAGTATCAATGCTTCTCCCCCACCTCCCCACCTCATAGGAGTTGTGTGGTTCAGCTTTTGTATTTTAGGACTATTTTGTGTTGTATAGAAATGCTATAGCATTGTCACGATTAAATATTGTCTGCCACTGCTTTTTCCCCATCCAGCTGGAATCAGAGTTCTTTTTTTTAGGTTTGGTTTCTAAAATATTCCCAGACTAACACAAAACAGGGAACTGCTTTAGCTAAGACTAAATAGCTGCTTCTTTGCAACTGGGGAGCAGGTTCAACAGTAACATAGTTCTTGTCTTGTCTTGTCTTGTCTTGTCTTGTCTTGTCTTGGTCTTGTCTTGTCTTGTCTTGTCTTGTCTTGTCTTGTCTTGTCTTGTCTTGTCTTGTCTTGTCTTTTCTTTCTATCACATTACTCTGTTCCACCTTTCTAAACTGAAACTGTGGCTTACTAGTTCTAGAACTGAAGTCACACATTTGCAAGAACCAAAGCAATAAGAACTCTGTTTAGAACTGTACTGCTGCTTTTTTCAGCATTGTTCAAAACTACAACAGCAGGTGAATGTGATTTCAAAATAGAAAATTAAAAATTATAACACAGCAAAGCTATTATCAGAGACTGGTCTAGTTCTTGTCAGCCCCATTCCCTAAGAGAAGTCTTGATGATAAAGTTTAATCATGATAATAAAGTATGGCTAGGGCTTAAAACTAACTTTCCCAGGCAAATCCTTTGAATGTAGGAAGTCAAGATCCCTCTTAACTTGGAATGGTGTGAAGTGACATAATTAGCCATCACTGTATTGGCTTAATTCAAATTCTGTCAGTTCAGCCCCTGAAAGAATGTTGTCCCTTCAACAGAGGCACCTTCCTAGACATGAACAGTTTAACAGCTTCCATATGATCCTTTATTCATGCCTTCAGTGTATCCATAGGGAAATCTCAGACCTGAGGGTCTGTTGGAGAAACTGTCTAAGGCAAGTGGCCCTTTAGAACTCCTACCCATTCCCTTGGCCAGGATTGTCACTTTGGGGTATTGCAGAATTTCCAGTTGTCCACCTCTGACACAAAAAAAACCTAGTAAGTAAGAAGTCATTGACATCATGGTGCATTCTTTCCACCTTTTTTTCCGGTGCTTTCTGCTATGTGGAAGGTCTAGAGCCAGTTTAGCTTTTTATTCAGGGGTGAGTGTAAACCTCATTTGTGTGGGGTGGCGATGGATGGATGGATGGATGGATGGATGGATGGATGGATGGATGGATGGATGGATGGTCATCTCCTGCTGTTCTGGTCAATGGCAACGTTTTGGCAAACAACTGGCATTCTCTGCCTCCTGCCATGGTATTTATGCTTCTCACTTCTTCCCTCTTCTCCTCTGGAAATATAAGCTAGGCTCTTCTTTGTGGCTTGAAGGCAGCTTCTCTTTGTGAAGATAAAAGAGCAGTAACGACTGGCACATGAGTGGCAGAAGTCACTGTGTCCTCTGCCCTCCTGTTATGCAAGATGCTGCTCCAATTTTCTGTTTTCTGTTGGTTCCTATTACAACTTCAATTTTTAACATTATGATAAGAGAGCTAAAGCTACCATGCAGTGCTGGGAATGACCCATGAAATACATGGAACAGAGGGCTTGTGAACTCACAAACACTTATATACTTGAATATAATTGTAAACAAATAAAGAAGCCCATTGATAAAACAGGATAAATTTTCAGAGAAAGAGGAAAATGAGTACTCCATGGTGACAGTCAATATTTTACTGCATATTCAAAACAGGCTCCATCTGTAGCTTCGGAAAATTGAGAACAATACTGCATATTTTCCATGTTTAGGTGTAGAAATGATAGTGACAATGATAGTGACAATGATGGTTTGTGGCATTCTTCATACCCATCCATTTATCATTCTTCTAAATATGCATGCTTATGGTCTGCTCAAAAGCAAGCTAAACTTACCAGTGACTTTTTGATTACTTTAGGGCTCTGTGAAGATTGCATCAATTCAATATATTAATTTGCCTGTTTCAGTAAGCTGCTGTCAGAATTAGTCAAGTTTATGAAGTTGTGGAGCTGCTTGCAAAGTTTGAAATATAATTGAATGTGCCGGGTCTTGTCACTGTAGGACAGCAAACACCCACCATGGGTATGTATGATCCAAAGGATCTCAAGGCAAATCGCTGACTGGGAACTTATGCTGCCTGGGAAGGAATCAAATCTGTGCTGCTTCTCACCTGTTTTTTTGACTGCCTAAGAGGGAATTAGCGTGGAAATGAAGGGAGATCATCAGATTCAAGATGAAATTCCCCCAGGAATTTCTGTGTGAAGAAGTGTAAAACACCAGGAACCAGGTTCCAGGAGTCAGTAGAACTGCTGAGAGCTTGGATGTGTGAAACAGGGAAGTCAAAGGGATAGATTTACATGGCTGCTGTATGTGAGTGGCTGTTGGGATTTGGGATGGAGAATATGTGAATATTCTGTTTGAATTACAAGTGTTGCAGACACTTACACATCTATCTAATACATCTATCCAATATTTCTTATGTTAGCTTGAAGTGAGAAGGATCATGGTTATCATGGTTTTTGCACAAAATTGAGGCTTAAGGCATTTAGGATTAGAGACATGATGGTTTCTGTCAGCTCTTCTGTTTCCTGAAACAAGAGCTGGCTTTTCATTGAGTTAGTTTTGCACTCTGCAAATCTGAGCTCAGTTAATATATGCCTACAGGCATACACGGGCTTTTGAGATGTTTCTGCAGATTCCAGTTGAGGAAAAAAAAAAACAACAGCCCTTGAATGGAAAATGTCCAAAATGAAGATATTTCAGCCTGCGAGCAAATTTTATGCAAATTAGTCTGTAGGCATGAATGACTGTCTTGCACTGTTGGTGGTCTTGGCAAGCCAGGAATAATGTTGGGAATGGCTGTCGTCCCATGTCTGACGACACGGGCAGAACATACCCCCTTCTGGTTGCTGCACTGCCTTTGGCCCATATATAGTAGCTCTTGCAATCAGATGGGAGCTTGGCTGATGTTTTTGGGAGGCCTGGGACAGGGCAGCTCCATCTCTTACCGTATGAGCAGCTCAGCAGACATGCATGAGCTGCCTAATGACACACTGCTGCAAAGGCTCAGTTACGGTGCTTGTTTGGCAAGGAAGATATAATTAATAATGTCATTGCATAAAAGTCAGCTGTTCAGTACTCATGCTAGCTGCCAAATGTTACACGATGCAGATTCAGAAATATTTTATCCATCTGCCAGTGCTTTCAAATCATTCTGGCAAGGTTTGTATTTCTATTTTAAACTGTGTAAAGGGAAATTGCTCTCATTCTCTCAGTGCTAAGGATGGTGCAAGCCTTACCCTACCTCCTTTTAGAGAAATAAACCAGGGGAAAAGTGTTAGAGGTCATCACAGAGGTATCATTTGGTGTCTAAAATGTACTGGACATATGCCAGAGTGATTCTGATAGCATTTTTATGGACGGGGAAAAGAAATGGTGCATCTCAGGATCACATAATGTGTGCATTCAGAAAACATTCCACAAAAAATTGTACAGTAAATTTATCACTTCATATTGATAAACTGTAGGAATTTTTGTTTTACACCTTCCATTAATGTTGTGAAACAAGTAAATGTCATTTTCTATTTAGTACTGCTACTTCGCTATGCTAGATACGGAAATTTTATTTACACAACTTTGATTATTTTTCTTTCTTTGAAGAAACCCACAGATTCTTTCATCTATGTGTCCTCTTCTCACACATGCTGAGTGATTAAACCTACAGTATTCTCTTGGTTAATAATGGCATAATGGAACAATCAGTTGGAGTTTTCCCTCTTCTTCTTCTGTTCCTGACCATACCTTTAATCCCAGATTTTAAACTGCTCCTTATGGCCACAGCCAATCCTTTAATGTCAGACATGTAAGTTAAGCAAGTGAGATCTCTCAACTAGTAAAATTGTACATAAAACAATGATTAAAGATCTGGTTTTTGGGGCAAAAAAATTGTTTGTTTCATTTCTTTTGTTCTCACTAGATGGTACAAGCTTTGCTGTCCCTTACACAACACCACCTCAGCAGTCCCTGTTACTAGGGACAGACAGGAACTTGTGAGCTAGGACTGCAAAATCATCACAGTTACGCCTGGGACAAAAATATCTGAGCAAACTGAAACAATGCTGTTCTGGCAGTGAGAGAGGAGCCTAACAGACCACAGTGTCTAAAGAACCAGTATGGACTAATGTCTTTACTGTTACTCCCAGGTTGCTGCTTTTTATGGAAATATTTTTCCTTGTTTGTTATAGCGGGGTGAATTTGAATGTGATACTCATTTCATGCTGCTATTTTGACCATGGCATGAAGAGATATTGTTCCATTGCTACTGCAGTGTGAATCCTTATAGCATCTGCTCTGTTATCTTTGTGCCCTTCCAGCACAACTCCTACTGGAGATGGGCTTTTTTTTTTTTAAATAAACAGGAAAACGAAAATAGTTTTATTTTTGAAAAGGCAAAGGACTTGAGTAAGTGCAACATAAAGAATTACTAGAATTCCTTCATGCTTTGCCAAGAGAGTCCTCTTGCTATTTGCTACTTGTTAATTAGCATTCTAAGGTAGAGGAGAAAAAAAAAGATACCCTTTAATTCAACTCTGTTTAACTTCTTTTGAAAAACTAACCCCATTTCAAATCTTTGCAACACATTTCATTACTCTAATTTCTGAAAATACAAGTTAAATAAAAACATACAAGGAGTGGATACTTGCTGTCAATTTCTACAAAGAAGTCAAGGGAAAAAGCTGGTGGAAGACTTAGCAGCTGGAAGCAGAGCTGACTGAAAGACCAAACCAGTTTTTGAAAGCCTAAACCTAAACCTAGCTTTCATTTCACATTATTCCTTTGGTTCTTTTCAACACCTATTTTATTTAGTATTGAAAAACTGGCAGCTGAAAAAGCAGGCAGGCTTGCCTTCTATTTTTGAGCATACAGAGAATGAGGTATTAGCATATGAGAGCAACAATTTCTACATTTTTACAGTTTGGTCATGAGAAATATTCAGTTCTTTAACTACAGTTAACACTGACACTGTTAAATAAATCCATTAAAAATGAAAACTGTGATAATTTCTTGGTAAGAAACCATCCCCATTTCTTATTCATACAGCACATTAAACATAGTGTAACTAATAGTGTGTAGTTTTAAAATGTTCTAGTGTGGCTTTTGATTGAGTGCCAATTTCTACCAAAATTCAGTTACCAACAAAAGAGGACTTAGTATATAGAAACAGATTATCTTCTGGCCTGACAAAAAGATGCATTAATTATCTATAGGAAGAAGTTGAGTAGAGGGTACAAAAGCAATGCAGGTTCAAATGCATGACTTATTCAAAGTTTCTTTCCATTTAAATTATGATGGAAGCTGATGTTTTAAATACCTGTGACTTAAATCAATCTGCATTTACCTTGACCCATTCGAGGAGCATTTTTGAGACCAGAGGTCACTTCCAAAGGTTCCTGATAGAAGTAGCAAAATGTTCCTTTTCTACATCTGAGGAGAGTGATGAGATCTTTCTCTAGCTGTCATTGCTGCAGTGCATGGCTGTTCATAGCCTTATGGTCAGAGTAGACAAAGCTGGATTTTGTGCCTGGAGTGCAGGTCTGTGAGTCTTTTAAACATATATTGTCCTCTGCTCTTGTTTTCATTTGATACTCAGTTTGCAGGCCCTTTCAAACTGTTGAGCACACTGATCCTCATTCACCTCTCTCCTAGAGCAGATGGACAGACAGGAGTTGTGCCTCTTGCAGGTGGCTGGACTGCCTTTGAAATGCAAGGTAGATGTGAAGCCAGGGTGATGCTAAGCCATACAAGAGTGTGCTAATCAACGGGAGATGATGTTAGTTGCTGCTATAAGGATCGCTTTTATTTTCTTGAACCTTGCAAATGCAAACAGTGAACTTAAATAACAGGTAGTTTGAGAAAAAATGCTCTGACTCTACACAGGAGTAAAGGGCTATTCACAATCTAGCACCATTTTCTTTTTTTTTTTAATTGCCTTCCATTTTGTAGCTAAGCGGTGTGTTCAAGTGTAATCTAATTTCTGTAGAAAAGCATGAGCTAGGAGCTCGTGAGAGCAAGGCACAGGGCTCAAGCCTCAGGTGTGCACTGGGAGCAGCAAAGCAATCACTGCACAGGGTTCTGTATTCTTGTAGTGTGTGTGAGGTCAGAGGATAATTGGAGAAACATGTCAGCACAGATGAAGACAGATTGGGAGTTAGATTGGTATTTCCTGACTTTAGGAAATTTCCTGACTTTAGGGTCTTGCTGGATGGATTTCACAACGGCAACAATAACAGAAGGCCACTTTAGCTTCTCTGATGAATGTGGTAAAAGAGATGGAAGCATATAGGAAGATAGGTGAGCAAGGACTGTGGTTTTGGGTATCCCAGCTAAAGCAAAAGCTATTTCAACTTGTGGAATGGCAAGTATTTTTTGAAAGCTTTTTGGATAGAGACTGGAAAGGTCAAAATCCCATGGCTGTCTCTCTGCTGGGAGATTATTTTAGTCAATGTGTTAATGTAACCCATGTTTGCATTGAAATCTGCACAGCCTGCAGTTTAAGATTACCTATATTTGCCAGTCAGATACCTTGTGTGAGGCAAGTCAGAGATATGATATTAGAAAATTATCCCAGATTGATTTTATCATGACAAGCATCACAGTGCAGGCAGATTACACTGCGCAGATTTACAGTCAGCAACTGGAGCTTTGTTATGAATTCTGCAGACCTGGTAAATGAAACTCAAGATTTTCATGTGATAACAGGATATCTTGACTCTGTAAGAAGGTAACCAGTCCCAGCAAATCTGTTCAATGACACATCCCTCTGATATAGGTAAAACAGTTTTTTTCTGTTTGTTTAAATGCTGCCACTCTTACAGATTCAGAGATTTTGTTTATGTGTTACTTATGCTTTCACATTTGGCTCCTGGCAACTTTTCTTTCCCTCTTTCCTTCTTCCTTCCTATGCTTGTCAGATTGTGAACTCTTCATGGGCTGCATCAACTATTAAAGTAGTGGCATGTGAGTGACAGACCTATCTCGGTGTGCCCTTGCAGGAGGAACAAGTTGCCTAGGGCTTTTTCGGTAGCTCTTACTGTTTAGTTCAAAATATAGCATCTCATGGTTTTTGGCTACAGAGAGGCCCAGTTTAGTTTCAGGTGAGTTCCTTCTGCTTTAACCAAAATATAAACATGATGTGGAGATGGTTTTCATGGGATGACAGGAAACAAATTCAACAAGGGAAGATGCAATGTGAGGAGGAACAACCCCCATGCACCACTCTGTGCTGGGGCTACCTGGCTGGAAGGCCACTGGGCAGAAAAGGACCTGGGAATTCTGGTG